GTGTGCCATTAGTTGCAAGTGTTATAGGGGGGATTTTGTGTACCAAAAGGCCAGATTTAGCTGAATGGTTGCCAGTCAAAAGCAAGATTGATGCACTGGGTTCACTTGAATATCAGGGTGATGGAATTATGCATATATTACAACTGAGTTTTGATAACTTGTTGAAGCCAGGTTTGAAGCAATGTTTTGCATTCTATTCTCTTTTTCCCAAAGATTATGTCATGGAAAGGGAGACTTTAATTCAACTATGGATGGCAGAAGGGTTCCTTCAATTGCCTGAAGAAACTTCTATGATGCTGGAGGATATAGGTGATGAGTATTTCAATGACTTGTTATCATATTCTTTATTTCAAGAGGACCAGAGAGATTTATTGGGGAGCATCACTCATTGTAAAATGCATGATTTGATTCATGATTTTGCACAATCCATTTCAAAATATGAGACAGTGATTTTGAAGACTCTTTTTTCGGGAAGCAATATTTCTAGTTTTAGACATTTGAATCTCATCTATGATCAGCAAATGGTGCCAACAATTTTAGAAGATGTTGCTCAGTTACACACTTTGTTTTCAGAGCATGGTTTTCCTTGTGGCATATCAGGGAAATTTAAACGGTTACGGGCTCTTAGTTCTCCTTATGCTGTTGATACTGAAGAATTGCCACCATGTTTTGGAAATATGAAGAGTTTGAGATACTTAGACATTTCTGGAACTCAGATAAAAGAATTGCCCAGGTTCGTTACCAATCTATACAATTTACAAACATTTAGATTCCAGAATTGCAGATCTCTCAAAATGCCTCATGAAGGGATAGGAAATTTAATCAACTTGAGGCATGTCAACTTCGATAATGAAAATTGTATGCCTGCAAACCTTGGGCGACTGACTTGTCTTCGAACATTGCCATTGTTCTTTGTGGGTGCAACAAAGGGGCACAAAATTGAAGAATTGGGATGTTTAAGCCAACTGAGAGGAAGATTAGAGATCCGTAACCTTGAGCTTGTTAAAGACAAATCAGAAGCCATGAGAGCAAAATTACATGAGAAGGCAGTTAATGATTTGGAATTGATATGGGGAAAAGAAGGCAATCAGGATGAAGATGTTTTGGCAGGCCTCCGACCACACTCAAATCTGCAAAGATTAACTATTGATGGTTATGGAGGTAAAAACTTACCATCATGGATGTTGAAGACCGACTGTAGTTACAGTAATGAAATATTTGTGATCAAGAACTTGGTGCTATTGAAAATTACAAGGTGCAAGATGTTGGAAAGTGTTCCAACAAGTGGGTTACAATCACTTCAGAAACTCATCATTTTCAACTGCTCTGTAAGCAACATTGGAGATGTACTAGCAGCCTCCAAGTGCCTTGAGCTCTTACGTCTGGTAGAGCTTCCGAATTTGGAGTTTATTCCAGGTATTGATGGGCTTACATCTCTTCAGGCCATTTATCTGTTTGGGCTTCCTAATCTGAGGTTTATTCCAAGTGTAGATGGGCTTACCTCTCTTCAAAATTTATATTTGTCTAAATGTGAAATAGAGTGTCTACCAAGTGGGTTATCATCCTGCATTGCTCTTAAAAATCTGATAGTAAGGAGTTGCCATAACTTGATCTCCATTCCAGAAGAATTGAAGCAATTGCATTCTCTTGTTGAGTTACAAATTGTAGATTGTTCAAAATTGAGAAGCATCCCAGAGAAGCCCCTCGCCTGTCTTACTAGCTTGAAAAAATTGAGTATTGGTGGTTTTGGGGAAGAGCTAGAGGAATTCCCTGGGCTTGGTTCCATTCTCTGCCTACAGACCTCCCTCCAGGAGTTGCGATTGCATGGATGGAAAAAATTAACTACATTGCCACCTCAAATTCAACACCTTACTGCTCTAAAGAAGTTAGTTATAAGTAAGTTTGATGACGTGGAAACATTACCAGAATGGTTAGGAAACTTATCGTCCCTAAAAGAATTGCGTGTTGATTCTTGTTCTGGATTAAGATGTTTATCAAGTGGGCTGTCATTCTACACCGGTCTCGACAATCTTGCAATACAGGATTGTCCTAATCTTGTCTCTGTTTCAGAGGAAGTTCTCGGCCGTCTATCTCAATTGAAGTGGTTGTCGATTGGTGGTTTCTCAAAAGAGTTGGAGGAATTCCCGGGTCTAAATTCCATCAACACCTCCCTTGAAGACTTGGATTTGTTTGGTTGGGAAAAGCTAAGTCAATTGCCTCATCAAATTCAACACCTCACTGCTATAAAGTACTTGCGGGTCTCCGGATTTGATGGAGTGGAAGTTTTACCAGAGTGGTTGAGAAACTTATCCTCCCTTGAATGTCTATGGTTTGATAAGTGCAAGAATCTGAAACGACTGCCTTCTGCAGAAGCAATTCGACGACTCTCCAAATTGGAGCTTCTTGACGTTCATGACTGCCCCTTGTTAGAGGAAAGATGCGCCAAGGAAAGCGGTCCTGAGTGGTCCAAAATTTCTCACATTCCCAACATCTACATAAATGGCAAGCCCTTCTAATCCCAAGATTGAGGTTTGCTAGAGGCAACAGGTATGCCTGATTTCTGAAATCCCAACTCCCTTTTTTCCTGCAACTACACTTCTTAATAATTTATAAATTCCCAACACTAATTTTCTCCACATTGGCTCATTCTATCAATTAAGTCTGTGTCTTTCTGTCAATTTAGGGAGCAATACAATAAACTATATCGACTCAAATGTTTAATGAGGCTCCTCAATTCCTTTTCCCAATGTTCAACTTGAAGACTTCTTAATTTTCTATCTTCTCCATTTTGAATTGCTATTTTATGTAGTTTTTCTTCAGCAGTTTGTCTATGTGAATAAAGCTATTAGCTGTATAAAAGACCTTTGGTCTTATGTATAAAATGTGACTACAACACTAAACTGTTGCATTCTTCATTTGAAGCTTATATTGAAATCAACAGACTCCAAAACTTCCAGCAACTTGGAGCACATGTGTTATGTTAATTTTGTGAATCAAAGTTTTCTTTGTCAATTGCATAATTATTATTTCTTTTACACTTGGAACTAAGATCCATATTAGTTATATCTTTTCTCGTTGCAAAACATATATACACAAATGGATTTCATTTTTGATTGCAGACATGGAATTACTTTTCCCTTGAAAAAACATATAAACTATTTGCCTTAAACACCAAACAGACCCTTATCCCAGAAGCAAGCAATAGCAAAGGAATGGAAGAAAGTAGCTTCACCAAGCAAAAGATGATTCTGGTATGCTTTCTAGATATTTTATCATGTCTCCTAATTATTATTTGAGAACTAAGTGAGGCTTTAGTCTTACAGTAAACTTGCTTCTTGAAAAATTTTGGATCATACAGGATGTTCTTGGAGGTGCTCAATTTTAATCAATTAGGAACATAGTTCGTATCTCTCATGTGTTACTTTGAAATGTGTTACTTTGAAGGAAAACTGTTGCAGGTAAAAACCAAACCAAAGTTCATACCAGTTATACTTCATTTAAAAGGCATATGCATTTTCAATTCCTTGGCATCTACTACATAATTTTACAGATTTGAATTCTGGTGTATGATCTCTGGTTGTTTCTCATCTTTAATTTTTATTACTATGTACCATTTGTTCATCCAAGAAGAGTGATATTGTTGCTTCAATTGAATTACATCTGATTCAAAAGATTTTGTTCAAGTGTTTGAATTTGAGAAACATGTATCACTACCAGTGCAGCTAACATTACTTGCTTGTTTTGAAATTCAGATATGTAGAAGCATTCCACCTATTGGATTTTTAGGGGTAATAAGGGGGTTGAGAGAGTGGACTTGGAGGAGAAGGAAAGAGACACCCGGAGTTACCTCATTTGGTGAGGTGAGAACCCATTTTCTTCATTCAACTTCTGCCATTATATAGCAGAAATCTCATAATACATCAACAGTAATTTCAACTTAATACAATAAAATCTATCAAACATTTAAAGCAATATTACATTCAAAAGATTTGCTGCCATTTTGTTCAGCTCCATGTGGCTGTCACTTTGCTGCCACTGTGTTGTTGCAGCTCTCACGTCTTTTCATTTGCTGCCACTGTGTTGCAGCTTTGACACCACAGCCCCAACACCACCCACCAAGACGAGGATATGAGGAACAAGTTCAGGCTGATTTAATAGTAAGTTGCTCTGCTTGAAATATTATGCAAATCCTAGATTAATCTTTAACTTCAAGTTAATAGGAAGGTTCACAATGATGCGAATGCAATTTGGCAATTTGTTTCATTTGGTTTTGCAGAAGTCTTAAGAAGGATTACTGCAACAAAAGGCAAACTTTTACGGGGTTCTCTCTCAAAGTGTTTTTTTAAGATATTTTGATTAGAAAGAATCAATGTACTCAGTATCTGAGTAATAGTTGTGTGCTTGGACAGTTAGTATTATTTTTCCATATTGCTCTAGGTCTTATGTTTGGGGAAAAAAAATGAGACACCATTATTGTATTATTCATTTTAATATTGAATTTTGTTCCCGTTTTGGTCCTGTGATTTTTCCCTCTCTATTGGAGGGTTTTCCATGTAAATTTTGTGTTCTTTTCAATTTATAATTCTTGTGGTGTCTGATATATTTATTTGGTCATCGCAAGACTGGGGCTTTATTTTGATTAAGATTGGCTTGGTTGAAATCAGGTAACTTCGGGTACAATCCTAGCAATCCTAACAATTTTGCCATGTATCAGCAGAATCCTGGTCATGAACACTTTTTTTAGTGGTCAAGCCAGAAAATTCATCTGCAAGAGTCTAACACACGTTTCCTTGCATGGAAGCCATTTCAGTACTCTAGAGGCATAACATGCACCAGGAAAGGAGGTGTTGAATTGAGTGGTCCAAAACCAATTTAGATTGCCATAAAATCTAAATGACAATTTTGACACCATTTGCAAGTGAGTTTTCCTTTATATTGTTTTTAAAAACGTGCATTGTGGTTGAGGGTACTCCA